GACAAATGACATTCATTAAACATGGCACGTGGAACTAGAACAGTCTTCCCCAGTGAAGAAGGCCGGAGCGTACAACGTTCGAAATGTTGTAATAAATATGGCAACAAAGTTGAGGACAATAGTCCGATTAATGTAAATAGTGTACATAATACCTCATGTCAGAAATATAGACAGATACCGAAAGGCCTAAGCGTTGGGATAAATATAGTAACAAGGATGAGGAGAATAGTCCGAATAATGTAAATAGGGTACATAATACCTCATGTCAGAAATATAGACAGATACTGAAAGGCCGAAACGTTGTAATAAATATGGCAACAAAGATGAGGACAATAGTCCGAATAATGGAAATAGTGTACATAATACCTCATGTCAGAAATATAGACAGATACTGAAAGGCCGAAAAGTTGTAATAAATATGGTAACAAGGATGAGGAGAATAGTCCGAATAATGTAAATAGTGTACATAATACCTCATCTCAGAAATATAGACAGTGCGTGAATGTATTTAAATCATTAAATGTCCTATTCTTGAAGACTTGTGTCAGAAAGTCTATGGACATTTGTTGATATAAAATCTATTTTTTCGCCTGTACACTCGGGTATATAAATGGATAAAAATGTGGGTTTCCCTTATGGAAATATATATACATACATGTCAATAAACAGATAATCATAGAAGTAGATATTACAGATTGTTTGACTTTCTACGATGGTCAGATATTTTCTGCATCAGTCATTGGTGTTCAAGACAAATAAAGACCAAAATCTTTCCTTTTTAAGAGTTTCCAATGTTTATTCACAACAACGACAATTGGCAAAAGGCAATCTTATACTTCCGTATGATGTCACAACAGGTGCCTCCACATACGTCAAAAGGTCGTTTCTTAGAAAGAGGATTTTTTTTAATATCACATAAAATAAACAATGGGAGCCTGCCTAAGAGAATTAATTGTTTCATTTCCCTGATATTAAAACCTCGCCACTGCCCATGCGCAGACACACAATCTCTGATGAAAATGTACGTTTTGATTAAAAAAACATATAATATATATATATATATATATATATATATATATATATATATATATATACTAATGGGTTAGGAAATAATTTAGCCCTGATCGCCTGAAGATACTGAAAGGTTGAAACCAAAGTAATGTGATCGGATGATCTAATTATACACACACAAACAAACACACACACACACACACGCACATATACACACATATATATATATATATATATATATATATATATATATATATATATATATATATATATATATATATATATAGTTATTTCGGCGTTTAATGTAGAATAAATAAAAAGCCTTTTGGTCTCTTCTGTAAGTGTTATCATCTCTTATTTTTTATTTTTCATAATGCCTTTAGGAAATAATTTGTATCTATTCCTTGCAATATATATACATATTTATATGAGAATTGCTATCTCCTAATTCAAAGAATGGTCCCCAGAAACATTACTAATAGCCTAATAGTTATTTCTTCTTCACAGCAGTCGACCTACGCGAGTCAGCATTGATCTCTTATATGATACTGCTCACAACAGTTAGCGTCAAAAGTCTACAAAGGCCGATCTTAATCATTCCATCTCATATCAAAATCACATCGATGTGGGTTCATTTTCCTTCTCACATCTTGTACTTCACTTTTTTTTGTTGTTTACCCCATTGTTGCAATTGAATAAAATTTTAAACTTCTTTCCTAAGATTTATTCGATTTCCTAATTTTGAATAAAAATTGGAGGTCGAATGAATAAATCTTCAGCGCCAATTAAAATCTTATCGGATTCATATACGTTCGTTTCCCTAATGTTTTTCTTGACTCTCCGCAAAAGAGGAGGTAAACACGATTTTTCTTTCGCATGCAAAAACACCAAACGCCATCTTGCGCATAATGCATAATAAATCTTTTAAAACCGCTTACTTGATGGAAAGTTTGCAATCTGTTCTGCGAACCAAAAATAGTGCTGTTTGCCGTGTCAGAAGCTACGAGCATTTAATCCTTAACACATGACATTACAGCCGTCATTCCGTCGATCGTAACGGAACTCGATTTCCTTCACTTGACAGAGGTCAGTTTTTCTCCTTGACAACGACATCACGATGCAGTGCCGAAAGGAAGAATTTACATACCGCCATCGTTTAACTATTGTCAAACTCACCCGCTGATTTTATACAAATTAATCATAGACCTCGGCTTAAAATTCTAAATAATTTCAGGATAATTCATTAAAAACTAAAATTTTCTATACAGGTTTGATCAAATACCACAGATTTAAAATAATATACATGATATAAGCACTAGATTGGAGGCAAGGTCTCATCATTTTATAGCTTATCTGGATAGGTGTAACCGTAATTTCTATGCTAAAAGTTTCTTCTCTCGCACTTCTGTTATACTAGAACATACCTATTCTATTGTAATAGATTCTCCCACATATAATAAATAGTAGTAGTAGCAGTCGCCAGGGGGCTCAGAGTGAGTTGGTGAGTCAGTGGATGTCGGACATTAAAGTATCAACCACCACAACTAGATTGCTGCCTCATTAACTATTATTTCAAGTTCCTAACGTTTTGTACGTCGGACCCTTTTTGGACCGACTTAGTGAAATACAAGCCTCCACTATGAAAACTACTCTACAACAACTTCTTATTTGTGGAACTCTCTTCCGGTTTCTTGCTTCCCATTAAACTTTGATTTTCAAAATTTAAATGCAATGTCAATC